TATATATATTATAGAGAAGTTGAGACACAATATCACAATGGTTATGTTACTGTATTTATTCTTTTTTTTTTTTCTCTCCTGTTTAGCTAAATATCCAGAAATCAAGTCCTTGATGGGTCCTGACCACAGGCTGAAATGGATTGTGTGCATGATGGTGGCCATTCAGTTTTTAGCTTTCTACCTGGTCAAAGACTTGGACTGGAAATGGGTTCTGTTTTGGACTTATGCGTTTGGCAGTTGTATCAACCACTCAATGACCCTTGCCATTCACGAGGTCTCCCACAACACAGCCTTTGGAAACAATAAGGCCATGTGGAACCGCTACTTTGCCATGTTTGCCAACCTGCCCATTGGCCTGCCCTACTCTGCTTCCTTCAAGCGCTACCATCTCGACCACCACCGTTACCTGGGCGGAGACGGCGTCGATGTAGACATTCCCACTGCTTTTGAAGGCTGGTTTTTCTGCACGCGCTTCAGGAAATTCATCTGGATCATTCTGCAGCCACTCTTCTACGCCATCAGACCTCTTTGTATCAACCCCAAACCCATCAGCCAGCTGGAAGTCATTAACTTGACGGTCCAGCTCACATTTAATGTTCTGCTCTACTGGCTGTGGGGGGCAAAGCCTGTGGTCTACATGCTGGCTGGCTCCATGTTGGGGATGGGCTTGCACCCCATCTCTGGTCACTTCATAGCTGAACACTACATGTTCCTCAAAGGCCACGAGACCTACTCTTACTACGGCTCCCTCAACCTGCTAACGTTCAACGTGGGCTACCACAACGAGCACCATGATTTCCCCAGTATTCCGGGACGCAGGCTTCCTTTGGTGAGTACACCGTGTCCGTCTCTTGTGGTGCACTTTCCCAGCAGCCACTATTCTAAGACTTAATAAGACTTCTATGCTCAGACCGCTCAGATTATTCTGTTATACCCTTTTGCAACTATAGCAGGCATGGAGAAATGTTAAGACTTTTATATTTACAAATTTGGAGTCTCTCAATTGAGAAAGAATATATTCTTGTAGAAACGACCTTGTTCGGACATATAACAAATACATTGGTTTAATCTCAAAACTTTTTTTTTTGTGTCAGCGTTGCTCGATTTTCAAATGTAAGCAGCTTTCCACAATTATCGTACTGTGAGAAAAATGATCGTACACACCATATTTACACTCAAACATTGATTATTGGTTGATGCATTGCGCATAAATATATAAATATATTGAACAACACTTGCAATAGTGGTTGTTGTGTACATGTCTATGGCGTAATATCAAAGCAACAATAACAAGCCGATAGATATCTTGTAGGAAAATTGTAAATGTTTAAAATGGCAGAAATGCTAGGAAAATGCTTAATGGATGGCTCTTTTCTTATTTCTTCTTATTTTTATTGAAACGTGAAAGTTTGTGAAAATAATGGATTTAGATTTTGGACCTAGCCGAGTTTTTTTTTCTTCAGTCAATCGTAGATGAATCGATATTTAGTTTACGGCCATGAAGTTATTTAGTTTTAATCCCTGATATAATCAAATGCATTCACCATTTTTCATTGTCGGTCAGTTTATATTAATCCATACTTGATCATTTTAAAAATGACATTTTTTTTTACATTTAAGTCATCAAATGATTGGTCAGCCCACCTGTCGTTGACTTTATAGATGACCAAAAAAAAAAGCCCACTACGTCGTATAGATTCTTTAACCAATTAAACATAACGGAAGTAACTAAGGGTCATCACTTGAGAGGTTCAGCGAACATGGCTGAACACCTCAAGAACAATAACATTTGACCTTCTTAATGTAAGGAGGACAAGAATCATTTCAACTTCAACAAGGTCCAATATTGGTCAAGGATTGAACCCAAAAAAAAAAAACAACTATAGCCAGTCCAATTGAGAAGTTAGCCCAAATGCTCAACTTGACTTTGCGCAACATTCCATAAACAGAGATACCGTAATATCCGGACTATAAGCCGCTTTTGAACACGTTTTGAAGCCATTTGCATTAAGAAAAAACTTTATGCTCTTGTGTTCATTTGGTCAATTAGAAATGTCAGCAAGTTATTTTGTGTCTTTTGTGGTTCAAGTTTCTGACCTTGACAACCTTTATTTTTAATTAAAGAGCTCTCTGAACCGAGATACCTTTTACAGGATCCATGTTGTTATACATTTTGGAGAATCTAAAACGTAATCTCTTGCTTTTTCTCCACTGCAACGCTCCACCCATGTAGCAGAACCTTGCACGTCTTTCACTTTCAGTTTGAAACCAGATACTGATGCCAGTTCCTGTCAGTCTTATCAAAGGCCTCCAGAGAGTAGTCAACATTAAGGTCGTCACTCACTGTGCGTAAAAACGTCTTCCTGTTTGTTTTTTTTTCAGGTGAAGAAAATTGCAGCAGAGTATTACAACGACCTGCCTCAGTACACATCGTGGGTGAAGGTGCTGTATGACTTTATCATGGACGACGCACTCAGTCCTTACTCGAGAGTCAAGAGGAAGCTGAAGGGAGAAGTCAAACAGGAGTAATCTGGCGGAAGGTCACAGCGTCCAACCAAGTCAGCTAAATCTGCTAACCCTCCTAAAATTCACCAGCTTCTGCTGATAAGTATATTTGCAACCTTTTGACACGGGTGTGGACTACTGAAGTGTGGGTGAATAACCATAATTATATATATATATATATATATATATATAAGGAATAAAATGAATCCTAAATGAATATAATTTATAATAAAAGAGAATAAAAGAGGTTTTCATAGGAAGCTATTTTCTTTCTTTCAACTAACTAGATGGAGTTTACCTGCTGTGTCGTATAACATGAAAATGGGTGAAGATTATCCAAAACAAAAACAAAAAAAAGAGGAGAGGAAGATTAGAAAGTGGATTTATCTGGGACTGGCTTCACAAAGACATAGTTGTTTATGTTTTAGGATTTTGTTTGACCATTTTACTGTCTATTTGTGTGCAGTAAAGTTTTAAAATTTCAAAAAAAGAATTTAAACCTTGCAAAGTAGATGAATGTTTGTCCTTTGAGTACTGTGTTTCAATTGTCAGTATTTTGCAGTATTAGCTCCTGTAAATCTTAGTTATTGAGTGGTTTGTTTTCAATCTCAGTCATGAGCTTTTCTGACATTGACCGCGTAGATAGTTTGCACTAGGTAAGAAGTTTGCGATGAGTGAACTTTAGTTACTTGGTCCAAACCAAGACATGATGTTCACGAAATGTGACTGTAACTGTGTTCAGGACCGAATAACCAAAGTCCACGATCAGCAATATCTGCTTATCATGAATCGAAGACTCACATATATACATACAACTAAGAGTCTTTAATTGAGTCGCTCCTAAATCTTTTTTTTTTTTTTAATGTTTCACAATTTTCAAAAAAACTTGTACTGAGAAGATTATGCTAAGATTATGCTAAGTCAGGCGTCGGCAAACCTTTTGACTCGCGGGCCAAAAGTGTCAGGAACAGATAGATGGAGCGTTTGTGCAAACTAAGATAAATGACATGCATAATGGCTAAAATTGTTTTCTAGGCCATCTATTGGGAAATGTGGGTATTGCAGGGAAAAGGCAGAAGTGTAATGATAATATAAACAAATTCCGCGCACAATGCTTTAACCAAAAAAAAAAAAAATGTAATTTGAACAATAACATCCATAAAATAAATTCTGAGGTGCAATCAACCAATTGCCCAGTTGGCTGTTAACTGAAAGGTTGCTGGTTCAAGGCCACCCATGGACACATGGTTTTATGTGGTTCTATAGTTTAACATAGGAAATTCCCCAATGTGGGATCAATAAAGTCCATTCAATGATAATGAAAATAATTAGAAAGTAATATGAATGAAAATTTATGAACATTAAAATAAGAATATTGTTATTAATATATAATATTTCATGTCCATTTTTGAGGAGACTGGGAGATTAGAAAAGAATT